GAGTTGAAATGGTTCACGACTGGGAGGTGCAGATGTTTGTCGTGAACCAAGCGTAGGTGTTCCACAAAGCAGTCCCCAAGCCTCCGCTTGGTTTCCCCAATGTAGAGGAGGCCACAACGGGAACAACGGCTACAGTATACCACATTAGCAGATGTGCAGGTGAACATCTGTTTAATGTGGAAGGTCTTCTTAGGGCCTGGGATGGGGGTGAGGGGGGAGGTGTAGGGGCAGGTGTAGCACTTCCTGCGGTTGCAGGCAAAAGTGCCGGGGGTGGTGGGGCTGGAGGGGAGTGTGGAGCAGACAAGGGAGTCGCGGAGAGAGTGGTCCCTCCGGAAAGCAGATAAGGGTGGGGAGGGAAAAATGTCTTTGGTGGTGGGGTCAGATTGCAGATGGTGGAAGTGTCGGACGATGATGCGTTGGATCCGGAGGTTGGTGGGGTGGTACGTGAGGACGAGGGGGATTCTGTTTTGGTTGTTATTGTGGGGAGGGGTTGTGAGGGATGAGTTGCGGGAAATGCGAGAGACACGGTCGAGGGCGTTTTCGACCACGGTGGAGGGGAAGTTGCAGTCCTTGAACAACGAGGACATCTGGGATGTCACGGAGAGGAATGTCTCATCTCAGGAGCAGATGCGGCAGAGGCAAAGGAATTGGGAATAGGGGATGGACTTTTTGCAGAAAGGTGGGTGAGAGGAGGTGTACTCTAGGTAGCTGTGGGAGTCGGTGGGCTTGAAATGGATATCGGTTTCCAGGTGGATGCCAGAGATGGAGACAGAGAGGTCCAGGAAGGAGAGAGAGAGGTATTAGAGATGGTCCAGATGAACTTAAGGTTGGGGTGAAAGGTGTTAGTGAAGTGGATGAACTGTTTGAGCTCCTCGAGGGAGCACGAGGTGGCGCCGAAACAGTTATCGATGTAACGGAGGAAGTGGTGGGGGATAGGGCCACTGTAGCTTTGGAAGAGGGATTGTTCCACATTTCAGTATTTAGGGATGTTTCAGTATTTGTTTTTAAAAATGGTGGAGCCCCCAGCCAGGCTTTCCCCCAGCCTACCTCAGGAACTGGCAGTTTATTTTGCTCTTCTCGGATTGCCCAGCCTCGCTCCATACTAGCCCATACTGCCAGACTGAAAATGGGAAATCCAACCGGCCACTTTTAAATATTAGCTTCAAGGGGCTGTGCTCAAACCAGAAACTCGGGGCCTTGTGTTTCTGTAACATCTAAAACAACTGGAAGTCTTGTAGTATCTTATACACAATAAAAGACTTTTGAAGTGCAGGCATTGTTGTAAGGTATAAACTTAAGTGTGAAAATATCAAAGGCTTTGCCCTTATCTTCCAATCCTTCTTTTATTTTGGAGAGGTAACGGGTATCTGGTGGATTGCAAATGTTATGCAAGGGATCCCTGGATTTATGAATGCTTGTACTTACAAATGTAACCCCATACAGGAGTGCAATTTTAAATATCGAACACACAACCATTTCCTGTACTTATGAACAGCTGCTTTCCATTGACCGGCATTGTGTTCGACTTAGGTATGATTTGACTTGTGAACAGACTGCGGAATGTTTGCAACCCAGGGACTGGCTATACCCTTATTTAAAATAAAGATTAAATCTGGCAACTTTCGGGCAATTAGCCTAATGTAGGCAGTATGCATCATGAGGTATCCAGATGGTGGGATTTAGGTGTAGATCATGGGATGCCTGATACAAAAGGAGGGTTGTGGTTGCAAGGCAGAGTCTGACAGTGGTTTGGTGGGCAGCAGACAGATCAGAGTGGGAAACTAAAGTGGACACACGCTCTCATTATAAAAAGTAATGATCAGATTGCTCATGTGCCCCTGAACCTGCACCCATTCAAACAGGAAGTGGGAGACTACAAGGCAGATTCACTTCCTGCTCCAGATTTATTTAATCTTTGCTGTCAACCTGTTTTTGGGAGTTGAGACTCAGTTGAAAAAACACTGAGGAAAAATGAGTTGACATTTGGACAAGTATGGGCTAATAGATGACAGTTAACATCAGTTTGTGAAATGTGAATTGTGTTTGACTAGCTTATCCAGCTCTATATGAAGTAATTGGATGGAATAATGAAGGTAGAGCAGTTGATGTGTATTTGGACTTACAAAAGTCATTCATCAATATACTAACTAATAAATATGTCAGCAAAATTATAGCTCTTGGGATTAAAGGATACTGACAATGTGAATTCAAACTGTACAAGGCTTACAAAGCAGAGAATACTGTTGAATAGTGTTTTATTCTGCAGAGGGAAGTGAGTGGTCATGGTATTGGAACAAATGTTTTCCTTGAAGCATGCACTATTGTACTAGATTTATAATAATAATTTTATTGTTTGCAGATGACACAAAACTCAGAAATTTGTAAATACTGAGGACTGTAAGAGATTACAGGTGCAATGGTAAAATGAGCAGACACCTGGTGGAAGAAATTTCATGCCAAGTATGATGTGATAACTGAATGAGATGAGGCAATGTAAACCAAATTATATCATTTTTAAAATGGATTAAAACCTCTTTTAAAAAGAACACCAGGACAAAATAACTTCTGAAAGCCACATCATCGCCGCAGGTCCAAGTTACGACCATGTCTGGAGGGGCAAATAAACTCCTCATTTTTCATTCCTGAACTTGGTTTAACAACAGTATTTTCTTTAAAATTGTCCTTTTTTTAACAAAAAATGTGTTTTTTTTTAATTCCGTATGTACTTGACCCTGTGTAAAGCTACATGAAGAAATAAACCAGACATATCTCTTGGGTTACCACAATTAAAGGATTAGTTTTATTGTAAACGCACTCATGTATAAAACATATTTGAAAAACGTAAAACTCATCCTAAATTCAGCGACATAACACAAAAACACTAGCATGCAGAACAGAATATGTTATGGAATGGGGGAGAAGCAATTGGTAGGAAGTTAAAATCTGTAGGTAAAAGTAATTTTATGTTTCAAGGTTTCTTTGGTAGAGTTGAAGTTCCATTGGTTGCAGCCAATGTAATCTCATTCTTGTTCTTCTGGAGATGCTCTCTTTCAAACTGCAATCAGTTCTTTTCCAGAGTGGGTGTTCTGGCACTTGAAGTTCCTCTTATTTATAAATTTACTGTCTCGGTTATGTATTCCAACTTGTAACATAGCTTTAAAAAACTGTCAGGATAAAGAGCTGTTGTTATTCCACACGGCACGTACTACTTTTCTGTTATAAGCAGAAAAGCTTATAAACAGCTTTTCACAAAGGGCAGTTTTGGTCAAGTGATAGCTGACTATTGGAACAAAATAGGGACAAACCATGCTAATGGAGGAGTTTTTCTCCCATTGTCAAAGCTACCAAAATGCATTAAAACAAAGGAAGTCTTCAGAACCCCTTTGTATAATATCTTTGAATTGTATTGTACAAAGGGTTTAGGTAGATTCCCTTTGTCTCTGATAGTTTCTACAGACAAGATCCTTAGGATTTCTCAAGATAGTTTGTGTAATCACAAGCATAAAATTCTCCAGGGGAACAGCTCAGGCATATCTATTATTAACCCATGTCAGAGGTTCTACGAAACTTATCCACTCTTATAGGTCAGGTGACCCTTGCAGCCATTTTAAAACACAATGTTTGAGCTCATTTGTTTTCTTTCATAACAAAGTCTTGGTTGTTAAGCCAGTCAATGGAATTAAAGATTAATATTCCATATATGACAACTTCATGATGGGTTGTATGTACTAAAATTTTTGAATGTGACAGGACAATTTGAGAAGGCCATTAAGAAAAGCACAAGGATTCGCTAATACAAAAGGGGACATAAGTAAAAGAGTTATGCGAAACTGTTGAAAAATCTTAACTGGAGTATTCTGAGAGCCATGACTTAGAGAGATGTTAGGGGGCTTAGAGAGACTGCAGAAGTGATTTATTCGAGTGGTACTAGAGATGAGCGACTTGGAGAGATTTGAGAATCTGGATTGCTCTCCTTGAAGCGAGTTATGGTGAAATAAATAGAGAAATTATTTCCACTGGCAACAGAAAAGATAGCAAAGGAGACAGATTTAAGATGGTTGGCAACAGAACCTGAGATGACAATGTGAGACTTTTCTTTCATGCAGTGAGTTGTTATGCACTCCCTACAGGGTGTTGGAAGCTGTATCAATAGTAACTTTCAAAAGAATACTTAAAGAGAAAAAAAAAATTGCAGGATATTGTGGAAAAAGCAGGAGTGCAACGACCAAAGACCCAAACAGACAAGAAGGACCAAATGGTATTCTTTTTTGCATCAATCTTTGATTCGTACCAGTAGAGGATCCCATCTCGCCACACTAACCATCTTTGTGGTCTCCCTGTGTGAGATTGCCATTTCACTAACCAATAATACTGAATGGTTCAGTTTAGTTTTGCTGTGGATTAATGCCAATTTAATTAAATTTGCCAATACTAATTTCTCTAAGCTTCCATAACTGACAGAGAAAGCTTTCATACTGTGAGTCTGCTTGATTCACCAAGAGGAGAAACAAATATTCTAAAAGATATAGGAAGACTTGCATTTGTATAATTTATAAGCATTTAAGTTTTGAAGCATTTTAAATCCAATTAAGTTTTTTTTTAGAATTTAGACACTGTTGTAATGTGGGAAACATAGCAGCCAATTTATGCCAGCAAACTCCCACAAACAGCTATATAGTAATGATCAGATAACCTGATTTTGTGATACTGATTGAGGGATAAACATAGACCAGGACTTGTGAGATAACTCTCCTGCGTTTCTTCTTCAACCCACAGAAGCAGGCCAACGGGCCTCAGTTTAATATCTCATCCAAAAGCTAACACTGTTCTGCACTGAACTGCAGTATTTGGTCTGGATTTTTGTGCTCATGCCCTGGAGTAAGGCTTAAGCCCAGGACCCTGCGATGCAGACGCAAAAGTGCTACTCACTGAACCAGAGCTAGCATAAATACTATTCATATTCACTTATGAGCTAAAATGATATGTGTTTTGTTTTACAGATAGATCTCCAGTCTATAACAGGACTTGAACATGGGGAAACTTTACCCATTTCGCTGCTGTAGTAACTGACGTTGTGTCTTGTACGAGATGATTACACTTTGAAGAGGTAATACGTATTAACTTCCTTTTGTCTCCAAAATACATTATCTTTATCCCTCCGAAAACTACATGTTTTACTTCAATGACCAACAGATGTTTTTTTTTCCCTTAATTAGTTTACTCAAAGAGACTAGTTTTACTTCTGCTGAAGCTTTTAATCACGTTTTATTTCTAGGGACACAATCTGTTGTTGTGAGGCAGATGTTTTTATTGAACAGCAGCCCAATTACTTTCAATATTTTTGTCTTACTTTGGATTAGAAAATGTTGGCTGTTTAATAGGGGGATTGAGCCTCACACCATCACCCAGAATAGCAATTAACTCACCTGGATCAGCTACGTCTCAAAAAAAAATTATTGTTGGGTCTCAGCTTGGCTTTAGGTGCAAATCAGCGATCCCTGAGGACTGTGAGATATTGCCTGCTGTGGCTGGTTGGGTTCCTGGCAGAGTGATTTGATTTAATAATGTAAAATCACATTGCCAGGGATTACCAACCTGTCGCCAGCTATTACCAACCGTTCCTAGAAGAAAAATGCATCTTGCCACTGGGGACAGCTGGGAATGGTAAATCCTGTCCACCTCACTGCAAACATAGGAATTGCTAGACGAGAAAATTTCAAAGCCTGACATCTGCCACTCCATTGACAGCATGATGCAACAGAGCAGCTTCTGTTTTTCACACATTAAGAGTGAAGTCTCTCCCTAACCTGTGTGATGTCTCCCTTGTTAGGAAGGATTACAGCAGACACAGGAGTCATTTTGATAGTGTAGAATGTATATGCCCACTCAGTAAACATCTACTGGAGCTATTGGAACTGAAGAGCTGTTTTAATAAGTGGACCATATCGTGCATTTTACATTGCTGTTGCACTTAAATTATAAAGAGTTTGCTGGAGAGTTTTGTTTTCCCTGAATTCACCTTTTAGCAAAATCAATTTGTTTGGGTGGACAGTTTGTTACTGTGAAAAGGCTATTTGCAGAGGTAATTGTTGCTCTGTTGTTCTAAGGCTTGAATACTCCTCAGCACAATAGTATCACTCACTCTGAAGGAGTGGTGAACATGCTGAGAGTTTATAAGGGTAACGCCACAACAAATCCACTCTGCTGATCAGAAATCCCACCCACTGTCGGTACAAATTGGATGTGCATTGCTCATCATGTTCCAACCAGTAAAATTATCCTCTGTAAATCATGGAAAATAATAACACTCAAAAAATGTTCAGTTGTTCACTACACGTTCTTCCTTTCTGTTTAATATAAGAAACTGAGATGTGTTTGATTCCAGTGTATGGTATCATATTCCATTGAAAAAAACTAAAAATTCAGTCTTGTGTTTTGATACGAGGGAGTGAGTTCATGCCTGTGTCCTTAGCGTGCAATGATTCCTGGCTGCTCAGCATCAGCTGCTTCAGATTATGAAGTGCATATCCATGTGGGAATACAAAGGGAGCCCTGGAGGAGGGATTTTTTCAATGAGCCTTGTGCGGTGGAGGACTTAGCTAACTCTGTGAACAGATTTTTGAATGCCTTCATGTTCACAGTGGCTAAGTTCCGCACCTCAGGGGTCAAACTCAAAAGGATTTCCGGGCCACCATTTGCAGTTCATATGTCACTGCAGGCTTATGTCAATCAGTCCACAGGTCGTGTTAGTACTAATTATCTTTTTTTGTGTTGTGTGATTCAGTGCAACATTTCCCAGAATGGTTGAGTTCAATGGGATGATTAAAACCGCATGCTAGACTGAGAGAAACATAAGTGAGGATCTTGAGACAATATCCAAATATTCAATACTTTTCATTTTCTCAGCTCTCACCTCTCCAAAGGTTTCAAAAGCATCAAGTGCACATGCCTTTGATCAGATTGATATTACTCATTTAAACACATGTTTTCTTTATATTACACAGCCTTGGAAACATCATGAATTATTCCTTAACATGTGTGTCCCACTTTGCACTACAATGCAAGTTATGACTATTCCGAATTTTGGAACTCTTGTGACCAGCAGCTGGAGAAGAGTTAATTTCCTGGATTCAAACTCAGGCCACGGAAGTGTTGGCATGTTCCAATGAAAGGATAATGCTGTGACATCTACACCACTCTCCCCCACCTCAGCCAGTATAATGATTTCCTCTAAATTACCTATTGTATCTCAGTAAGCAAAACATTTTTAAATTGTCAATCGCTTTTTTTTGTGTCTGCATCAGCAATCAATAACTGAAATTATTTACCAATCTAGTCAAAATAGAATGCCATCTGAAAACTCATGAGCATGAGTGGGCTTTCAATATTATGATTGTAAATAGAAGAGAGGAGGTCCAGATTACTGATGTGGTATCTTACGATGTTTTAAGTAGGATTTAGAAACAAATACTTTTTCATACTTCCCCGCGAATCCTAAGCAATGAGCTATGACATATGGGGCTGAATGTTCCTAGCAACAGTGGGAAGCTTGAAGGCAAGGTGCAGGTCAGGAAATTGGGGGAAAACCCCTTTGGGCCGATACCCATTGCATTTCTGCTTTCAGCAGCAGCCAATTGAAATCACTAAAACTCCAATTAGGAGTGGTTTTGCGGCCTAACCAATCTTTTGCCAGAACAGCGTGGCATCGTGGTGATGATGAGAGGGCACAATGAAGGCAGTGTCCCTTGAGAGGCTGAGGGCAGGCCCTAATTGGAGGCTTCACACTCCAGTGACATTATCCGTGGTCAGGAGAAACTGCACCTAGGGCCCAAACTACTTATTAGCCAGCAGCAGCACATCTCCACTATGAAGGTCCTGACAGCTTCATTCTGCAGAATGTTTTATGTGCATTCGTGTTTGCTATGGGGGTCTCCAACCTGCCTCAGTGACACCCACCTCTCTTGGTGGGGCTGTCAATCCAGGTATTCTGTTTGGGTCTGTAGCATTGAGACCCTGCCTACTGATCTGAATGGCACAGTGAAATGGCTCATTACTGGGTACTGCTGGTAAATGCAGACTTGGGACCGCAATTTGTTCCTGACAATGTGGTCCCAAAGCCTCAGGAAAGCTCAGCCAATATCACAGATTAGCAATGAGTAAAAGAGGGTCTGAGATAAATCAGCATATGGCAATCGAGAGCCAGAATGATATCTTGAACTCTTAGATCTAGAGAAGGAAGGGAAGTAAATAATTCCTGAGTACTGAAATCCTGTAAAAGAATTAAATGGAGTAAGAGTCAATAAATTTAACATCTGACACAGTTGAGAGGACATGCTAGAGTTGGAGCTACAGAGATGTAAGACAAGAAAATTTATAGAAGGTCAAGGGGGATTATAATGAGGAGAGAGTTTAGGGGATAGAGGTCAATGAGAGTATGCCTTGTCTTATACCCAATCCAGAAGGGAATGAGAGGAAATTCCCAGCATTTGTAAACAGAGTTGACGGCTAAAATTGTGGTGGGGGACAGGATGTATTTAGTATGAAAGAAGAAACAAAGCATCTTGTGGACAACATCAGCCACACAGGAGGGTCATCGTTCCACTTGCCATTAAACAATAAACTAAGAAGAGTAGAATCATCAAGTTTAAAAGGTCAAAATCATTTCCTATATGGGCTGAAGTTGCAGGATCAATAGAATGTTGTAGAGGGTGAATTGGCAGCATATGAGTTGGTCAACAATCTTAGAATAAACAGTAATGGCCAATGAAATGGAATGGCAGCACAGTTGATGGGAGAACAACCAACTACAGGACAAATAAAATTGAGGTGAGGGAAAGATCTATTTGGTATGAAAGAAGAAGCAAAGTATTTTGCAGGCAACTTCAGCAACAAAAGAGGGTGACAAGATAAAATAAAAGTGGAAATTTGTCTTATAAGGGCAGGTCCAGACATCTTTAAATTGTGTCATTTTTAAACTTGAGAAACATTGTAAAAAAAATCTCTTAAATACACTCGCATTATATTGGATCTGGCTCCAAAGTGTCTGGAAAATTTCTCGTCAACTATTTACATAGATATCAAGTACAGCAGGAGTAGTCAGGCTAAATGTATGGACAAAAAGCATGTGAGTGCAGGGAGACCGAACCACGCTCACACATCATTCAGTGCCATAAAACATTTTACAAGTTTGTACCAGTCTGAGAACAGGACTTACCTGAAACAGCTTTCGTCTCCAGAAAACTATTATCTGAACCTTAACCTTGCTTTACGATGCAAACTGTAGATTGTAATTCACTTACAGTACATCACTACTAAATTAACTTTACAATTCTTTTAATGCTGGGTCCAACAGGACAATTATGTTTGCTATTAAAGGAATGTTCCATTTCTGCGTCTGCTAAAAATAAACCTTTATTTGGTGAAATTAAAAAAAAACGAAGCACTGGAAAAATTCAGAAAAGACAAGACATCAATCTAGAGTGGGTGTTCACAGTTAAATAAAGGTAAGTCCTGACTGAAAGCAAAGGAATGAAAACAAGAGTGGCACAGTGGCTCACTGGTTAGCACTGCTGCCTCATGGCATTAGGGACCAAGGTTCAATTCCAGCCTTGATATCTATCTGTGTGGAATTTGCACGTTCTGCGTCTGTCTGTGTGGGTTTCCTCCCACAGTCAAAAGATGTGCAGGTTGGGTGGATCGGCTGTGCTAAATTATCTGTACTGTCAAGAAACATGCAGGCTAGCAGGGTTAACTATGGGAAATGCAGAGTTATAGGGATGGGCAGAGAGATGTGTCTGGGTCTGATTCTCTTTGGAGGATTGATGCAGACTCAATGGGCTGAATGGCCTCTTTCTGTAGGGAAACTATGATTTTAAGAAGCAGATACTGGAGGTAAAAATGGTGAGCAGAGTTCATGATGTGACAGTTTTGATATAGCAACCCATCCTCGCTGGCATGTGTATTTGGTTTCCACAAGCTGAAATTGACGCCTCAATTCCATCAAGATTTTTGGAGGAATATCCACTGCAATTGCCCTTAGCAATGTCATGGTACAGTAGCCACAAAGCCACGCTGTTCACAGCATGTAGCCAGCATGGCTGTCACTCCTACACACAAACAAACCCAGTCTCTCTCACACTCGTTGCTGTTTAACCACCTGTTCCGCAGTTTACCAGCCCATAGCTACATCCCGTGGAAACATCTTCCTCAGGTCAACGTTAGCCAGGACCCAATGCCCACTGTAGATCCACTGCTTGTCACTGTCAACTTGGAGACCATCACATACAAACAACTGGATAAACTTGAAACCTGAGCTTTTATTTGCAATAAAAGCTAAAAGGGAACACAAACAAAACCAATAGAGACTGATACAAAAACAGAAATTGCTGGCGATTCTCAGCAATAGAGGCTGATGTTTACCCCAACAATGCAAACCAGATTTCAACATCATGACCAAAGATTATTGAACATTCCACAATGGTCAGATGAATCCAACTCTCATCTACTGGACCGAGTCAGTCAGATCCTGTCTGGCTGGAAATGCCTGACACATGAGAGCTCTGTCAACCACAAGGAGGGATAGACTACATTGGAGGGCCAAACAATAGAACTACATCTTCATCAGCCCCATCACCTGCTCGACCATAGCCCAGGTTGAGGAATGGATGCCATAATATCTGTGCTGCACTTCAGTTACAGTGTTTCCCAGCAGTGTCATCAGCCATGGTTATAGTTGGTACCCCTGGTCTCTCAGTAACCAGCTTTGTAAACCCCCTGGACCCTCAAATACACAGGTCCATGAGAGTGTTCCAGGATGTAGAGGATGTAGGAATCATGGCAGCTGCCAGGCTGACAGGCTCACATGTCCAGGAAGTGGCCACAGTGATCACAGATTACCTGGACATTAATCAAATGGAACCCTTCCTGTTGATGAATTCCACAGTGTTGTGATATGGCGCTCTCAGTGTCATTGTGCGTAAAATCAATGGCACCCTGTAAACTCAGAGAAGCCAGCCACGTTTCTGAATCCTACTGTCCGGGATGCAGCACTGATCTCATCATTAGGAAGCTAAGTGTGTCAGTGTGGTGTTACCCAGATGGCATCAGTCACTGTTCTGATGTATTTGTGGGTATATGACTGAGAGATCCCACATAGCTCACCTGTCGCTCCCTGGAAGGAACCAGTTGCATAAAGATTTATAGCTGTCATTACCCTCACAGCCACTCAGAGAGGATGGACTGTAACTGCTGCAGCCCTCAGCATGCCTCCTACGGCTTCCCACTGCGGCAGCTGTCAGGTCCCTCTCCAGCATCCAGCATCCAAGGTTCAGTTACAGTGTCCCGCTACATTGTCAATTGTCGGAAAAACCCATCTGGTTCACTCATGTCCTTTAGGGAAGGAAACGGCCATCCTTACCTGGTCTGGACTACATGTGACTCCAGATCCACATTAATGTAGTTGACTCTTAACTGCCCTCTGGGCAATTAGGGATGGTCAATAAATGCTGCCTAGCCAGCAACACCCTCATCCCATGAATGAATAAAGAAAAAAATGTGTTAGCACTATACCTCACTTCTTCCCAGCAAATAGAGTTGTACCCAATAAAACTCTGGGCTTCTTGAATACTGCACACATTCCTAGGGGTCCTACCTCTGCAACCGCCTGTTGAGTTCTAATCCTCCACACCAGCTGATGCGGTTGGGTTTGCCATTGGCCCTGGTCTTCCTGCATCCATCTTCACCTTTATAGGTAGGCAGCCACAGTAATCACCATGCAACCAGTGGCAGGGCCTGGTGGAAATGGTAACAGAAGGAGTGAAGGAGGTTCTCCAAACTTAGAGCAGTTATAGGTGGCCCACTGCACAGATGGGGGCTAAGCATACCCCTCTGTACAGTGAGACACGCTGCACTCTGAGAATGACAGCCATTTCTCTACCATCTGTCCATATTCAGGCTCAGCTTGTACAGTAACTTGGTGAAGGCGCCAACAAATGTCAGCAAGAGGGAAGTCCCCGCAGTGATCTGACACCCTTGTCTCACCCACATTCAGTACAGACTATTGTCACACTTATGTGACAGATTATGTGCTAACATCCGCACAGGAACCTTGGAAGTTGCACGCATACTGGTTCCCTTTCAACCGGTATTGGCCTTCTGTAACATCCTTGTTGCTAACATCCAAATCATTAAGGTGCCCAAGTTCAATTTGCAAGAACCAATGGCATGTTGCAAATCACCTTTGAGCAGCATCTGACCCCAAGTACCTTCACTCTACACGCATACAATGTTAGGTGAGTTTAGTGAAACAGGAAACTGAATATTCATGAGGGGAGTTGGGCTGTCAGCAAGGTGTTTAACAAGCCAGAATCCCCCTTAATTGGCAATTTGCTGCTGCCTAGTGAGAAACTCGACACAATACCTCTAAAACCATGAAAGATTGAACAAGGTGATCTGGACTTCACTGATTGTGTCACACAGCTTGCCATAACCTACATCACTCAGATTCTGCCCCATGTTTTTGTTTTCAGACAAAACTGACCTTTATTCTGCGCTTAACACCTACTCAGGATCTATGTTTTATATTTTCTCTACAATCATTACCATTTTTGTTCAGTGTACCTTTGATTTCTAATCTACCTCACCCTCTAACCTGACTTCCCCTCCCCTTGCCTTCCAGTTGCTCTTCCTGGATTTCTACAGAATAAAAAACATCACTTTCCATGTGTTTTCAGTTCCAAAGAAGAGTTACACTGCACTCAAAGCATTAACTCTTTTCTCTTTCCACAGATGTTCCCAGACCTATAGTTTCTTCAGCACTTTCTGTCTTTATTTTAGATCTCCTATATTCGCATTGTTTAACTTTTGCTTTATTTTGGTAAATCCAGGGAAACAGGAGGGCTGGGCTTCACCACACAACTGTATTTTTAAGTGAAATGTTTAGTTATTATCACATTTAATTTTTACAAGTATTTACAGCACACGAACAGGGCAATCCATTTGTGCTTCACGCAAACCTCTCAGTCCCTTCATATCCAGGACCAAGATTTGAACTATGCCATGAACAAGAGAAATTCGCCTCTCTGGTAGTTCTGTAGAACCTAAACTGAAACATGTTTTAATTGATCCACTAGCTTGCTAGAAATCTTAATGTCCATAGTTCATACATATTCATAACTTTGAATCCTCGTCCAAAAATATCAAGCCCTTCCAAAAGCGGAAGTCACTGATGTTTTAAAGCCAGAATTCTTTCTCATAAGTATAAAATTTTCAAAAAGCTGTTTGCTTATATTAGGAAAAAGTGAAGTAGACAAACAAGATGTCATGCTCACAGCTAATAGTCTGATCTTCCCAATGCATGATTTTGACTTGAACCCCGCTGATGTGGTTTGTTTTCATTGGGCACCAAAGTCTTTTGCACCACAGGATTGGTCGGACAGATGATCTGTTGCACTCTACTTGATGAGAAAACATTTTCCCAGTCATTGTTAGTTAAAGCTTGTTAAGTTCTTGGGAAACTTATTGGAAGTGGGAAAATGGTCCATACCTGAGAGCTAAAAATCCCCATGTTGATGACGATGAAATGTCCCCAAAATGTAGTCTGAAGTTTTTATGAAAGCATATTTATATTGTCCTTTGTTGTTTCTAGTTTTGAGTTTTCAACATGTTTTTTAGAGGCCAGGTGGGGATGTGGTGGGGGTGTGATTTTTTGCTGTCTGGGTTGTTACCTATAGCTCTCAATTACAGTAGCAATGAAACAGAACTTGGTGATGTAACTGGAAACAAGGTGCTGCTGAATACAAAATGCAGAGCTGGATGAACACAGCAGGCCAAGCAGCCTGCTCCTACGATGCTGCTTGGCCTGCTGTGTTCATCC